CTTTGCAATGTTTAGAAATAGACAGTTTCTTTGCTCTCTCTATCGGTATATAATGGGTTGATTTGTACATTGTTATTATTAAATTTTCCATCATCTTTGTATTCAGTATCCGCTTCACGTTTCGGTTCGCACTGGCACACCCGTCAGACAGTGCTTCCACCGTTCCCGATTCTGCGCCAGCGTCTGAACTTTAGCACAAGACAACCGGAGTTTAAAGCGGACTCAGACTCCGTCAGCAAATTTGCGCCAGGATAATCTTGGCCGTACCCTGCTTCTTCTGCTGGTCAGCTGGACAAGTAGTGGTTTCTTCGCCTTTCCTTCTGGAAGGATTCGCAGTACGTGCTCAAACCATTGCAGCTTTGACTTCTCAATCTGAAGAAACAGCGCCTGTATACCAAGACTGTTTGGGATATCTATACTCCAGACCATGTCGAGACGCGTCATCTCAGCAATTCATCTCAAAAGGCCCATTTCAGCGGCTTATGCGTGAGATCAAATTTTTTCTGTCCACGATTCATGACCTAAGTAAGCATGGTGATGAAGATCGGCTAGTCTTCAGACTCAGCTCTGCTTTATTAACAGTGATTCGGGCTAGTTCGTGTAGAATGCCACTGGCTACTCCAATCCGCAGATAGTTATCCTCCTACAATTTTCCATCACTACCAAACATCATCTGGAGGTAGGTAAACTTCTCCACTTCTTCTCCGTTTATATGAAGAGAGCAACGGGCATAAAAACAAAAAAGCACTAGGCTTTTCGTTTTAGATATGTCCACGCGCATACCGGTCACGAACATTCGTAAACAGTGCTGTAGATCAGTTTCAGAAGATACCAATAAAACAAGATCGTCTGCAAACAGCGACCCTCTCTTTTTCACATATCCTGCACCGATACACTAATTGTCTTGGCTGCTCCTGACTATTCTATCCGTGTACAACACAAACAGGATAGGTGACAGAACGCAGCCTTGAAGGAGTGGGAACGCTAAAAGGCTTCTACTGAACGCCATTAACTCTGATGGAGCACCTCCTACCAGCATATAGTGATTGAATGGGCCATCGATTCCATATGTTCACAGGCAGGGTTGCCCATAGACTGTTGCCCGGGATCCGGTCATAAATTCTCCCCAGTTCTGCAAAGCACAGCTAAATCGAATGAGCTAACGTTCACGATTTCTCAACAATTTGGCGTAGGGCGAATATTTAGTCACATTTGCTGCGACCGGGCCACAGTGATTTTTTTGTATCTTACAGTCAGTTATTCCGCGGAACTTCCTTTCTAGCTCTTTACCTGGAAGACGCAATAAGGCAATGCCCCGATAGTTGGAGCACCCCCTGTGGTGACTCGTCGTGAAAAAGGGTGCTGTCATTCCCACTCTCCTGTCCGCTGGTGTTTTCATCATAACCATTGCAGCTTTTACAGACATTTGTAAGCAAGCACGTATCCTTTTCTCGTAATGCTTTAAAAATTTTAAGGCAGATTTCATCGACTTAAGCAGCATTTCCACTTTCCAAGCTTTTCACAGCTTGTGTGATTTCATCTACAGAAATAGTAATATTCGTTCT